AGAAATCAGATATTCCAGTTCTTTTTACATGTCTAATTTAAAACTCACAATCCAGTAAGTATATAGAATATTTTTAAATGAACTTCTTAGTAGTCATGGACAAAGTACATTTAGAAGAAAATAATCAAAAACATGTTTGGGCGCGGGTGGCTCACGCCTGTAATCCTAGCTCTCTGGGAGGCCGAGCCGGGCGGATCGTTTGAGTTCAGGAGTTCGAAACCAACCTGAGCAAGAGCGAGACCCCGTCTCTACTATAAATAGAAAAATTAATTGGCCAACTAATATATATAGAAAAAATTAGCCGGCATGGTGGCGCATGCCTGTAGTCCCAGCTACTCGGGAGGCTGAGGCAGGAGGAGCTTGAGCCTAGGAGTTTGAGGTTGCTGTGAGCTAGGCTGATGCCACGGCACTCACTGTAGCCTGGGCAACAAAGCGAGACTCTGTCTCAAAAAAAAAAAAAAACAAACAAACAAACAAAAAAAAAATGTTTGTCCTACTGCATAACAAACCAAAAAAGTAAAAAACAAAACATGTTTGATTATAACATATGATCAGGACATGATTCAGAAATCACATATAAGCAACATGCCAAGAACTATGTCTATGGAATACAATAGGTAACATACTCAAAAATAAATAAAACAAAAGAATCACAAAGCTCCAAGCAAAAAGAAGCTTATATGCCAAAGGGCTTTTTAAAGACTTTAATATGCTAATCAGTCTTAAAAATTTCCAAAAGAAAATCATATATCATACAACACTTGCCAAATTTATTTGACCATGGAATCCTTTCCTCAAGGACCACACAGTGCAGTTAGCAATCTGCAGAACACATTTTCAAAAAGGTGTGCTAGATCAGGGTTGGGAACTATAGCCTGTTTGTCTATAGTCTGAGAACAAACAATGATTTTTTTCCACATTAAAGGTTATTTTAAAAAACAACCAAAACGAAACATATGTCAAAAGAAGAGATATTGTGTGGTCCACAAGGCCAAAAATATTTACTCTCTGGCCTTTCACACAAAAAGTTTGCTAACTCCTGGTATACAATGTTCCCTGAAGAAATTTGCATAAGCTGCTATAGCCAAAATGACTAGTAGTATCCTACTTCAGGAAAAATGTCTATACCCAGAAAACAGGAAAGCTTAAGGTCTAAGAAGTAATTAGGAGGCCGGGCGCGGTGGCTCACGCCTGTACTCCTAGCTCTCTGGGAGGCCGAGGCGGGCGGATTGCTCCAGGTCAGGAGTTCGAAACCAGCCTGAGCAAGAGCGAGACCCCGTCTCTACTATAAATAGAAAGAAATTAATTGGCCAACTAATATATATACAAAAATTAGCCGGCATGGTGGCAAATGCCTGTAGTCCCAGCTACTTGGGAGCTGAGGCAGGAGGATTGCTTGAGCCAGGAGTTTGAGGTTGCTGTAAGCTAGGCTGACGCCACGGCACTCACTCTAGCCTGGGCAACAAAGCAAGACTCTGTCTCAAAAAAAAAAAAAAAAAAGTAATTAGGAGAGAAAAGAACAAGTAGCCAGGTAATAAAAGAATGGATTATCAATCTGTTAATAAAGCATATGATTAACAAAGTTTTTAAAATCATAAAAAGTGAACAGTGATTATTCATCAATGCTAGAAAGTGAACTTTTTGAGGACAGGGACTTAATGAGCTTCTCATCCTAGTACCCAGTTATAATGCCAGTACTTTATAAACAGTCAATGTATATTCGTGGATATGAACTTAAATGAAATTCTGAAATACTAAAACCAAGGATAATTCTTTGAAAGTGAACAGCCAGATTAAATTTGAAGGCTATTTGATCCATCTGAAATTACAGACTATATCACAAAGCTGACATAGATGAAAAAATATTATAAAAGATAAATATTTAATACAGCCGGGCGCAGTGGCTCACACCTGTAATCCTAGCACTCTGGGAGGCCGAGGCAGGCGTATTGCTCAAGGTCAGGAGTTTGAAACCAGCCTGAGCAACAGCGAAACCCATCTCTACTAAAAATAGAAATTAATTGGCCAAATAAAAACATATAGGCCGGGCGCTGTGGCTCACGCCTGTAATCCTAGCTCTTGGGAGGCCGAGGCGGGCGGATTGCTCAAGGTCAGGAGTTCAAAACCAGCCTGAGCAAGAGCGAGACCCCGTCTCTACTATAAATAGAAAGAAATTAATTGGCCAACTGATATATATATAAAAAATAGCCGGCATGGTGGCGCATGCCTGTAGTCCCAGCTACCGGGAGGCTGAGGCAGAAGGATCACTCGAGCCCAGGAGTTTGAGGTTGCTGTGAGCTAGGACGCCACGGCACTCACTCTAGCCTGGGCAACAAAGCGAGACTCTGTCTCAAAAAAAAAAAAAAAAAAAAACATATAGAAAAAAAAATTAGCCAGGCATGGGTGGCACATGCCTATAGTTCCAGCTACTCTGGAGGCTGAGGCAGGAGGATTGCCTGAGCACGGGAGTTTGAGGTTGCTGTGAGCTAGGCTGATGCCACAGCACTCTAGCCTGGGCAAAAAAGTAAGATTCTGTCTCAAAAAAAAAAAAAAAAAAAAAAAAAAAAAAAAAAAATCACTAGAAATCATATGTATATAATTTACTTATAAAATTTGAGTTAATTTTTGAATATATTATACAAAGATAACACATTGTAAATGATAACATATCCTGATTTATATTCTTATACCATTTTAAATGTTTTCCTTTTTTCGTGAGGGTAAGAATTTCAAGACTAGGTTTTCTAAATAAAATCCAAGATGTTGCTTTTGCTGTTTTAAAGCTTCTCTAGATAGGCCTGCTCATTAGAATATCAAGATAGCTCCAATTTGACTTTTCCTTCCTATGTACTAGTGGCTTTTTAATTTTAAATATTTTTGAACAGCTGGTATTACATTTGGTGATAAGAAGGTAAGTTGCATCTATACCATGCCAGATATCCTGATTAAAAACTGGAAAATGTGTCTAACATTTTTTCAAACATGGCTCTCCGTCAGGACACTGCTCCCTTTTGACTTTAGAGCCACCGATCCTTTCAGCTCATATAACTGGGTTATAGCAGGTAAAAAAAACTTGGACATGCATTTCCGAGGGACAACTGCTATGAAAATTCCACGCTGGAACCACCTTTTATTTTCAGATACTCATGGATATGAGGTTTTCTTCTTGAAGTGGAAGAATGTGTTCTTTTTAATGATCATAAGCCTCGAACAAAGGGGATTTTTCATCTTGTTTATTTTTTTTCCAAGAGAATTAAATCATTTATTGATTACACATGATAATGGTTGATACACAAGCTTCATTCCCATCTATAATTTTTATCTGGTACCATTATTCAATTTAGATATATTGCATAGGATATGCCAACAATCATCTTTATAACCAATAATTCCATGATTTTTCCTTGCATGACCCCTTTTAATGGTGAACTTCACTTCACAACAGTAAACCATCAGTTCAACTCACACAAGGTTTACTGAAGACAATGGCTTCTCCACCCAAGCAGGTTGTAAATGAATTTCAAATAGAACCTGGCATCACCCTGAAGGAATTCTATCTTCACACTTTTGGGGAAGTTTACCAAAATGGCTTCAGAGTAGACTAACTTTACACAGCACATTAAAAAAAAAAAAAAAAAAAAGACACATTTATTCAGTGTCATGATCAGACTATTACATTTAGCAATCAACAGCATGGGGTGCAAAAAAAAATAAATCTACATTAAAACCCTTTGTTGGAATGCTTTTACACTTTCCACAGAACAGAAACTAAAATAACCTGTTGTACAATTAGTCACAAATACAGTCCTCGAGTTTTTTGCCCATACACATGAGTATTGTCTAAAACATGTCTTCTGTAGCAGCTAGGCCCTGCCACCACTGTGCTTGGCTGAGTTCACAAATCTGTTGTAACTGTAGCTTCCCTGTCACTTCTCTGGCTCTCCTCTCCTGCTAAGCTTTGTTCCTGGGCAATAATTAAAACCTTCTGCCACTGCCATAGCTACTGCTGCTACTGGAACCACCATAGCCACCTTGGTTTCGTTGGTTGGCAAAGTATTGGCCTCCACCACCATAGGGACAGGCTTCTGCCTCCAAAATTTCCTCCCTTCATGGGTCCAAAATTTGAAGACTGATTGTTGTAATTGCCAAAATCATTGTAGCTTCCACCACCTCCAAAATTGCTTCCATCATTACCAAATCCATTGTACCCATCCCCACTGCCACCATATCCACCACCACCACGGCTGCCACCAAAGCCACCTCAACCACTGAAGTTTCCTCCACAACCAAAGTTGTCATTTCCACCAAAACCACCTCCACAACCACCACCAAAGTTTCCAGAACCACTTCGACCTCTTTGGCTGGATGAAGCACTAGCCATCTCTTGCTTTGACAGGGCTTTCCTTACTTGACAGTTGTGGCCATTCACAGTATGGTATTTCTGAATGACAGTCTTATCCACAGAATCATGGTCATCAAAGGTTACAAAAGCAAAGCCCCTCTTCTTGCCACTGCCTCTGTCAGTCATGATTTCAATCATTTCAATTTTCATATACTGTTCAAAATAGTCTCTTAGGTGATGTTCTTCAGTGTCTTCTTTAATGCCACCAACAAAGATATTTTTCACACTTAAGTGGGCACCTGGTCTTTGAGAATCTTCTCTGGAGACAGCTCTCTTTGGTTCCACAACTCTTCCATCCACCTTGTGTGGTCGTGCATTCATTGCTGCATCCACCTCCTCCACAGTGGTGGAAGTGACAAACTCAAAGCCCCTGGAGCGCTTGGTGTCTGGATCTGTCATTACCACGCAGTCCAGTGAGCGTTCCCCATTGCTCAAAATGGCTCCTCAGACTCTCATCGGTTGTTTCAAAGCTCAATCCTCTGATGAATAGCTTCCGCAGCTGTTCAGGTTCTTTAGGAGACTCTGACTTAGACATGATGGCAGTAGGAAGAGACTTCAACGATGCTTCCTCTGCAGCGTCCACGGACAGAAAGCTCATCTTGTTTATTTTATATTTTTCAAGACAATTAAAACATTGAAATGTTTAAGTAGGTGACTATAAAAAGTCTGAATGAAAACTAACCTAATATGAAATGAAAAGCACTTGTCAGGAATTTTCACACCCTTGCTTAAGTACTTACTATGGAATAATGATTTCTAGAAATGAAAAACAATCTGTGAAGAATAAATTGCCATTGGTGGGGGGGGAAAAAGAGCCAAACAGGAGTAGGAAAAGGTGATGACAAAATACAACTTTATAAGGCATATAGCCAGTATACTAGTATTATCTACAGTGTAGTTTTATATTTATTCTATTTGACCAGGTCTCTTAGGTCCTCTCTCTGGATAAATATTTTTAACTATTAAGGTGATTATAAATGAAAAACAGGCCAATAAAGTGACTACTATCCTCAGGGCTTTGAACCAGTTGGGATAATGTGGCAAGAGGAAAAGGTCAAGGTGTAATGCTATCCCCAAACCTATTATTACTGTGACTATGGCTTCACTGAGTCTTTCAGAAATAAGGAAGGCAAACCATGAAAACACAAGAGGAGCTGCACTATTAACTAAATTAAGATAGTCCGGTTTGGCTGGACTACCTTCTGGTAAAGAAAAACCCCATCTGACCCCTCCCAAGAAAGATAGGAAACTGGCTCCATAAGCCATCTGAGTAAAAGCTAATACAGGGACATAAGTCTTTGTCATCAGCATAAACACTGGCGGAGCAAAGAAGGGGATTAGTCCTGCCAAAGTTACATATAATGCTGGCTTTGGACTGTCAGGCAGGTAAGTGATGGTGCTTGGTGGCCTGGCTGGAAGTACCGTTTGCTTCTGCTTTTTCTTAAAGCTGCATGGGGATGTATGATAGCATTGTGTCTTGCTCATACACACCGGAAAGGATGACAAAAGCCGAGGCCTTGGAAACCAAGGGAAAAAGTTCTGCTGGAGAGATGTCTTGAGAGACAGTGTATCTGTTTTCCTGATGGCTCCTAGTCCCATCGGGAAAAGGTACTTCAGCCTCTACAAAGAAAATAGAAGCAGAAGACAAATAGAAATCATATGTACATAATTTACTTATGAAATTTGAGTTAACTAACATTTGAACATATTATACAAAGATACCATATCCTGATTTATATTCTGATGCCATTTTATTCTTTCTTTTTTTTTTATTTATTTATTTTTCTGATGCCATTTTAAATGTTTTTCTTTTTTTTGTAAGACTAGGAAGACAAAATTTAAAGACATATCACCAGATTTTAGTAAATCCCAATATGAAAGAATAAAAAACAAGCAAACAAACAAGTCTACTTTCTGTTAGTACATCAAACTGTACAGAAAGGGTGAATTGACTACAGAGTGATGTTAAGAGTATCAAACAGTTATGGAATGTGTAAAAGAAACTACTGAATACAAAATGATATATTTCTACCAACCACTAATCTCATCCTATGACAGAAATATCTGAAAGAGGAGCAGGTAAAGACTAGATCTTTAGCAGTTGGCCTTTTAAACTTACACTTCTATTTACAACTTACAAAAGCAGCAGCACTAATTACTATGGGAATACTATTTTATATAGAAAAAAGAAATCTACCTTCCAATTTAGCTTTACAAACACTGCATACTTTTTATAGCTCCATGCCTTTGTACATGTCTCTGCCTAGAATTCTAGTTCTTACTAGTTTTCTATTTAGGGAACTTACCTCATCTTTCAAAATCCAGTTTAAAGCTTTCCTTAACCCCTTTCCAGTCTGATTTAATACTCCTATAGTAAATACCCTATGCACATTTCCATCATAATTCTCACAGTGAATTAAAATTGTGTGTTTACTTGTCTTTGTCTCAGTAGATTTCAGAGCCAGGACCATTTTTTTCCCTTTGCCTTTAAAAAAAATCCCCAATGCCTTTCATCGTACAAGGCCAAAGTAATAACCTTTCCTGCAGATTCTGTGCTTTAGCAAGCAGACAGATGCCAGACTACAACTAACGTGTTGGATGAAAGAAAAAAATGGAAGTTATTTAAGAATCTTGGTGATTCCTCAAACATGCTAGGAATGATCTCATCTTGGGACCTTTTCTTATTTTGTCTCTATTTGAAATGCTCTTCCCTCAGCTACCTGCCTGGCCTATTCCCTTGTTTTTGACCACCCTATTTCTAAGTACAATCCTACATCTATTTTTGATCTTCCCTATTCCCCTTTCCTGTTTTACAGTTCTCCAAAGCACTTACCACTTGACATATTAAATATTTTACCCAACTCTTTTTCCCCTCACCTGAATACATGAGGATAAGGATTTTTGTCTTTTTCACTGCTACTGTGCACTGCTTGGCAAATTGTGCTCAAATATTTGCTAAATAAACCAACCTTTGAAGATGCTTGAGAAAACTTCTGGATGAAGTGAAACATACTGGGCACTACTGAAAGTCTTGTTCAGGAAGATGCCAGGCAGTTCTGATTAATGTATTTTTACAGCTAAGTCAACGGGCTGAATCAGAAGCATGTTGCTGTGTATAAAACAAAATGTCACTTAATTTTCCTCATTTCATACATTAATTTTTAAACAGTAGTAACTCGAAGAATTTCTCACATATGACACAATTTCCTTTGAAAAGAATCATGAATATTTTCAAAGTATCAGTAACATAGTAAGGAAATACATCTTTTTCTTCCTTGAACTGTTTTTTTTTTTAGCATTGGTTGTCTGGTGTAACAGAAAGAGTAATGCAGAGACAAAAGATCTCGATTTTACAAACACCACCATCACTTCCTAGCTGTGTGACATTGGGCAAACTGCTTGAGTGTCAGTTTTCTCTTCTTTAAAACTGAAGGTCTTCTGAATGGCATTTTTGTCAGATTTTTTTTTAAAGAAGGAAGAAAATCTGAAAGTCATAGCTCCTCTGTTCTCTTTTTTCTCTTTAGTTATTTACTTTGGAGCTTAAGAGTTTACAGCTCAAAATAGTGACAGTACCCACCAATACAACTTAGCTGTGAACCAGGCACTGTATGTGTTTTATATGCATCAACTCATTGAATGCTCACAATAACCTCATCAACTTGGTACTGTGAGATAGAATAGCCTGGTGTCAAACACTCTTGGTTGGAATCCTGGTTTCACCATTTCTTAGCTGTGAGACTCTTTGAAAAAAGGATAACAACTACATCATAGGATTGATGTAAAATTTAATATGTTAATATATGTAAAGAGTTGAGAACTGTCCCTGACAAAAAGTAAGCACTTTACACATGAGGGACTAATGGTTAAGAACTCTATCTAATGTAAGCAGCCAGTAAGCCGCTGAATGAGAATTTGAATCCAGATTTCACAATCCCATTCTTAACCAGGAGAATGAGATGTCTAAAAGACAAAATCTACAGTTGCTGCTTAATTAAAAACAAAAAAATTAGTGAACTAATTTCCTGATCACAGATATGAGGGCTGGGTCGAGAAATGCTGTATACCAATGTCTTTATTCTATATCTAAGGAATCAAGTAGAGAGAGGTAAGTTATCCCAGGCCTTTGAGTAGTGTTTAGACCACACACACCCTCAGCCCTCCTGACCTCCAGATTAAAATACCCACAGAGCCTACCTATCGCTATCGCTTTTGCTCAAAAGCACTTTGTTCGTGAAGACTTCTGGGACCACTCCATTTAAAAGCTCACCCCACCCCCCATCTTCGGGAACTCCCCATCCACAGTGGCACGTACTTTCCAATTCAATGGCATTAAAGTGAAAAGTGATAGGCTAAGAGCCACGGACGGCAGGCGGTGTGGGGATTAAGGACACAAACCCAAGGGTTAATCTGCCCGATTTAGATGAAAACACCAATATTCCGACTGCCCCAGTGAAAAGACCGGCAACTAGCCTCCAATCGACGTCTGATAAGGGGGGACAGAGTTTAGGCGCCAGTGTCTTCTTGAAACCTAGCCCGACCGTGCCCACGTCTCCAATTTACACCCAACCCTTGGGGCCCCTTTCCCAACCTGCACTTGTGGTGGCCCTGATACTTACTTGCCACAGTCGCGCGGGAAGGTGGAAAGCCAAATTGCAATAACAGCGACACACTCGTGGAAGACACTTCCGGCAAATGGATTTAGACGGCCCAGTACTTCCTGATTACCTAAAAAAAAGGAGTCCGGGTGGGAACTTGACCTGTGCTAACTGGTTCCCACTCTCGGCTTTCCGTTTAGGGGCCATTCTTTTAAAAATCTTGATTCTAGTTAAAGTCAGATGTTGAGCAAGGTACCTGAACGGTCCTTGATTCTCTAAATCCAGGGTTTCCAGCCAGCAGAATCTGCCCGCAAAGTTCGAGATCTGAAGAGTGATGGTGGCGGAGGAAGGTAAGAGACTTGGAAGTTTAACTCAAGGGTGACTTGGCCAAATTGCTTGCCATCTCTGGAACTAATTTTTTACTTTGTAAAACAACAGGGCTTACAGGACCTATGGGGCACATCTCCGCATTACGGTCTTTAACTGCTAATATTATTTAAAGGCGGGGGGGGGAGCCCAGTTTCTGTAATACTTCCATTCTCACTGCTACGACCTATAAACTCCATTAAGTAATAAAGAGCACAAGGGGCAAGATTTTCACCTCCATGAAAGGTGTGGTGATAAAAGCCTTGGGCTTGGGGTGGAAAGTCAGATCATTCCTCCTGCCATCCTCGGTTTTATTTCTCAGCTGTGTGACCTTGGGCAAGTCCATTCTCGCCTCTGGGCCTCTTGTTTCACAGTCGGTCAAAGGAAATGGTAATTTGAGTGTCTTTCCCTCTCTAAGAGTAAAACTGAAGACAAGTAATAGATCTCAGAAGTCCACAGCAGCCAGTTCTTCCATCCCTCCAGATTCTAGATAGTCTAGAGTCCTCATTGCCAGCCTTCATTGGTTTAGCCTTCCAAAAAGCTGGATGGGACCAGAGTTAAGACTTCATAGTAGTGCCTTTTAGACGAGCTAGGCTTTCACTTTTCTTTCTTTCTCTGTGATAGCAGCACCGCCCTTTCCCCTCGAGTGATACCCTTTGAGACTTCGGGTAGGACGGCTTCTTAGCACTGCCAAAGGCGCAGGCTCTGGCCAAAACCCGCCTGGCGCTGGAGCAGAGGCGTGGCGCCTGCCCTCTGGAGGAACTACCACTCCCAGCGGGTACCGCGGCCGATCCAGCCGCTCGGGCCTCCGGAGCCAGGCCGTGTGGTCCACTGGGGGTTGGAGTCTCAACGACGCGCACACGTGAAGGAGCGGAAGGTGGGAAGGGGTCGGAAAACACATTCTTCCGAAAGTGGTTTGCTAGTACTTGTAGAAGTAGTTTGGGGACGCTTGCTTGCCCACAGGCGGGTTGTGGGAGGGTGAAGAAAAAAGGGGCGGGGAAGAACGGGTACACATAAACACACCCATCCACTCTTTCGCACGCGCCCAGGTCTTAGTATTGAGCAGGGGGTTAAGTAAGGAAGTACTAAACGGGGCTTGTCGCCGTCCTTCAAGCAGCGCGAGGAAAGGCAGAGAATTCAACTCCGCAGAGGGGCAGGGGCGAGCACACGCCGCCTGGAGCCAAGTTGAAGGGAACCCAGGTCGGGACAAGGAATAACCGCCGTTGGCGCGGCCAAACGTTGGCAGCTTGGGGCGCGGGCGTCCTCAGCGGGGGTCACGGGAGCAGGTCCCTTGCGCATGCGCGCGCTCTTGCAAGTGGGTGTGTGTGAGGCGGGGTCGGATGGGGAGCGGGAGGGCAGTGCTGGTCGTCGCTCCTCCTCCTCCACCCGCTCTGCCCCTCCTGGGCCTTGTGGGCCGGGCAGCCATTTTGGGAAGAGCTTTGTTATGGTTGTGGGCTAACCGCCTCTGCCGGGTCGAGAAGTTGGGACTAGTCCTCAGACTCCGCGTCTCGTCCCTGGCCATAGCCCGGCCGCTGCCCGGTGAGTGGGAGTTTGGGACAGCGGGACAGTAGGGGAGTCGTCTCGGAGCGGGGCTCCACCCGGAGCCTAACCAGCCAGCTGTTAAAACTAGTTGAAAGAAGCTCTCACACAGGTGGTTGGGTGTAGGTCCGACCGGAGAGGGGCGAGCGAAGCCCACGGGTCGAAAGGATCGGGACCAGACACCCTCCGACCCCCGTGTGTGGAGATTTGCACGCGAGCGTCGCCGCGGCTCTGCGAGAGCGTTCCTGCTTCAACTTTGGTCTTGGGGTCGGAACGCTCACCTGCGGTTCTTTGGCTCCTCTCCAAGCAATCCGGCTTGGTGCTGCTTGAGTGGTTTGGTTTACGGGTTTCTTTTTCTTTTCTCCTTAAAGTGAGAGCTAAGGGCTTTTGGTTTCCTTCAAAGGAAAACCTAAGGAGGAAAAAGTCGTGTGAGTCAAATGTGGGGTAGCTGAGGGGAAAAGAGTTTTAACCCCCGAAGTTCCGGTTCTCGGTAGTAGTGAGGCGTTTTCCTTTAGGTTAAGTCTATTCAGTATGTACCGTCTACCCTCCTTTGAACAAAACAAAACTGGTCTATCCTGAAATGTTTTAACGAGTATTTTTTTTTCTGTTTTAAATCTACTTGTCCCCAACCTGTGAAGTTCAAAAGGAAGGCTGAATCTAAAATGGCTGTAACTTGGGGAAGTGCACTGCCCTTCGGTAACTTAAATACATTAAGGACTTAAAATTTTAGTCTTTTCCCCTGTGGGGGCATTAACTAAATCTTTTGGTCTTTTTGCTGTTGGCATTTTAATCTTTAACACTCCTTTTGCTCGGTGAAAACAAAACTGAGGCTCACAAAGTTTGCTTACTCTCAAAAGTTTGCATAAGTATGGGTGGGGTGCGGATTTTTTTTTTTTTTTTTTGTAGTTGCTTATAGTTTTGAAATTGTGCTGTGGTGTCAGTTCTATCTGCCAACTTTGTGCTCTGAGGTTGGTTTGTCTTATTTGTTGAAATACTTGTTTTTAACTTTGATATTTATTGCTTATCAGGAAAACACGGAGTTAATGGTGGTTCATAGTTTAGTTTACTAACTAGTCACGTTCCTGTGTGAACCCCATCCAAAAGTAAAGTGATTAGTAGCCGTCAGTAGACTTACATTTGTAATTTGGTCGACTGCTGATCTTTTCCAAGGTCTTCGATATCTAATATCGGAAAGTAGGGTGCTTTTAAGTTCGGGACATTTACTAGAATAGTGTAAGACATTTTAACGGGTGTAAACCTATATTTGGTGAGGAGTGTCTGATGTGCCCTTTTAAACAAAAGGCAGTTTTAATGGATTTTTTTGAAGCCAGTAAATCCAGAAGTTTTAACTAAACAAAAAGCATAAATTGGAAACGAAAAAATTCAGTAAATTTCAGTGTTTGGAGAGGTGCTTGGGTTTCATGTTATGATGTTTAAACGATAAAATAGTGAAATGCTTGTGAATGAGAATTTGAAATTAATAATAAATTGTCATCTTAGGGAATCAGTTTCCATGTACCTTCCTACATTTTTTCAAACACAAAAGTTTATTTTTGTCAATTCTCCTAGGGGTTTTTTGTTCTTAAATTATTTTGGTGGTTTTATAGGAAAAACGTGAAGTTTCTAGTTGTAATTACAAGTTAGTTGCTTTGTATTTTGTCATTGTTGACTACTGGACTTGTGTGAGCCCTTACCCTTACTTAATTCCATGTTTTTTTGGAGGGGGTACTCAAAACACTTTTGTGTGTGCTGAAATAAACATTCTTTCAATTGATTCTGGATGGTGTCTTATCAGAGCTCTTGAAATTTGGGGGGTAAATGTTGAGGAGCCTTCTTTATTTTGAGTGAATTCATTTTACCAGATTTTTCATCAGTGGCTGTTGTTTGAAAGCTTAGCTGAGGAGAGCACATTCAACTATTTTTAATAAGTTTGGAATGATAAGAAATCTGGGGTACATTTCTGCATATAATTGTTTTTCCTTTTTTGCATGGTCAGTCTTTGTATATAATTCGTTTTTAATGCTCACTTAAATATTTAAGTTTGATATAAACACAATTGTGAATCATACTTGAGCAGATTGCTTATCTTTGCTTTATGGTTATAATTCTAATATTCCAGGGACCGTTGCTTAAAGTGCTTTATTATTTACTTCTATGAGTAGATGTTGTTTTATCCCGCATTTTATTATTGAGGAAAATTAGTCCAGAGACTTAGCTAGTAGGTAACAGACCCTGTATTCAAATTTAGGCGATCTATTGTGCTTAACTGTTAAGGTTGCTGCCTTTAAACATAAAAGTAAGACTATTGGTCTAAAGATGAAAAGCACAAACTTTTAAGGGGTCTCCACTAAAATAGTAGTTGATGAAAAAGGCAAATTTTGGTATATTTACAATTTTTTAGATAGATGAGGGAGGAAAGCTAGGAGGTGGAGAGAGAACACGTTACCTCAAAAGTGGCTATAGTTGCTGTTGTCTGGAATTTAACATGTGATTTTGCTATTGGAGACTTCACTGCCCAAGGTACTTCTAATCAGACCCTGATTGCTCTTTCTCATGAAATCTTCTCAAAATAAAACTTCCTACAATCAGACTTGAACAATAGGTCAGTAGAGGAACTGAACTTCTTTTGTCCACAGGTATACCTTAACTAATAAGATAGATATATTCCTAAGGTTATGTACATTGGATTTTTATAGATGATTTCAAATATACTAGGCAAATATTTACAGGAACTTATTTTCCTTTAGTAAAGTATATAATCAGCCTTTATTTGATATGTTCAGCCAGTTATTTTTCATCTTTCAGGCCATACAGCTCAATAATTCATTTTTTTAAGAAACGTGAAGGCTGTACTGTGATGCCACTATCTTTCAGTGTACTAGAGGCTGGGAATATCTGGGTGACCATAAAACATTATTCCTACCGCCAGAGAACTTTACAGTTTAATAGATAAGCACAGAAATACTCGCAGAACAACAACATAGGAAGCCATCTTTTTTAAAGGAGTTGATTTTAACATACTCCTTAAGTTCACCTTCCTTTTGTAAGATAAAACTACTTTGTCTTTTGTTAACCAGACTTCAGGCTAGAGAATCAGCAGCATGAATATGTTTTAGTACCGTTTTTCTGAGCAGTAGGTTTGTGTGGAATAAGTTTTTTTCCCAGAAAAGTCACATTTATTTAAGTTTGGCTATATTTACATTTAGCTTCCAAACCCTATTTCTGCTTATTATAAGCAGAATTTATTATTTAAATTTTTTATTAAAAAAATAAAATTTATTTAAATTTTCAGTATATAAAAAATTATTACCTGATTTATTGCTATACTTAAAGTTCGTAAGTATGTAGAAAAGTTGGTTTGGGGGGGTGCTTTAGTTAATTAAAAGGTAGAGCTATTTCAGTTTTTGTGCTAGTTGTTAATTATTACTTTTTTTTTTTTTTTTGAGACAGAGTCTCACTTTGTTGCCGGCCAGAGGGCCCTGGGCACAGCCTAGCTCACAGCAACCTCAAACTCCTGGGCTCAGCGATCCTACTGCCTCAGCCTCCCGAGTAGCTGGGACTACAGGCATGCGCCACCATGCCCGGCTAATTTTTTGTATATATATATTTTTAGTTGGTCAATTAATTTATTTCTATTTTTGGTAGAGACGGGGTCTCGCTCAGGCTGGTTTCGAACTCCTGACCTTGAGCAATCCGCCCGCCTCCGCCTCCCAAAGTGCTAGGATTACAGGCGTGAGCCACCACGCCCGGCTTAATTATTACTTTTTAATTAGTCTTACCAGTTATGGCAGAAAGGGGAATGGGAACCATTTATTGTGGGCTTTGTAAGCCAGATGCTGTAATACAGTCCAATTTATATAATTTCATTATTCCTACAACACTTGTTTAAAATAGGTATCAACCCTTCTACAAGTGAGTATATACAGAGGTTCCAAGAAGTTACATAATTTGGGTGATATACTGTCTGATCATAGTAAGCTCTTCATGACTATTAAATGAAATTGTGTTTAATGAACATCCTCTTACACACTAGCAAAATTCTGTGAAATCCTAACAGATTTGTTGCACATGGAATGATGTTTTTCTTTCTTAGATATTACTTTTCTGTTGACTTTTCTAATTTCTTTGACTCAGGGTCCAGGTCCCACACATTGCAATTGGCTGACATTCTTTTAAGCCTTTTTCATTTTGTGTGTTTCTCGGATTTTTTTCCTTGCACTTTGTTAAGGAAACCAGGTCATTTGTTCTGCAGAGTTTCCCACATTCTAGATTTTCCTGATTCCCTGTGAATTGGTAGTTGGATATAGAAGCTTAGATTAAGATTTGATTTTGGGGGTAGGGAGAAGTAAGAAGACTAACTTCACAGGTGATTCTGTGTATTTGGGGATTTTTATTTTCTATTGCTCAGTAATTCTCATATCATTTTCTTGGAATCTCCCTTTGAGCAACAGAGAGTAATTTTATGCATTATTTATCCTCCTTTAATATGCTTTGTAAAGTTGAGTGTTTGGTTTGCTTTGGTGCCCAATTCAGTATTAACTTTTCCAGGTAGTTTCCTGTCTTTTTTTTTTTCCTGCTTGTGTATTTATTGTATTATAAAACTGAATTAAGTATGATAAGTTTCCATTGTTTTTATTTCCTGGTTTTGATTACTAATTAATAGCTTTCTCAGCCTATTCAGTATGAAAATATTT